GGGAACCCAGGGATGGGATAGCAGAGGGCTGCAGGGCACGAGCGAGGTTTCACTAAAGTATAAAAACTTTTCCCTCGTACATTTTCACCTTTCACTTTCTTTTATGTGACATTTCACTTCTGTTATTACTCATTCAGCTCCCACGTAAAGTAGTGACACCCCCAGACTGAATTTGTCCTGCTGTTTCTAATGAAATGCCCCTATCCCTCTGGCTCTCCTGTAGCCAGTACTCTGTCATTCCCTGCTTTGAATCACCTCCCAAGACATTAGTAGGAGGGTGCGTTTATAAGGATGTCATTAGTAATGCACAAAGATCCATGCATGTCCCAGCAGCAGCGGCTGAGGAGGGAGAAGAAGGTTTAGCTTTGCCAAGGTAGCATGAAATGTCATGTCCAAAGCTGGGGAACATGTTAGCATAGAGACTGCAGTATAACAGGGATTCTGTCACTGACTCCCATGGGGACCCTCCCATCCAACCTCCTGCTCAGGATCCCATGCTTCAGCCCTGCTCGGGTTGGATGGGAGAGATGAAACAGAAGTCAACTGTGTGATGTTCTTCCCTGCTTCTTTTTTAACGTCTTTTCCTCATCATCCATGTGTCCCCCAGCCCTCCATTCGGAAGCCTCTTGCATGTAAACTGCAAGGGCCTTGTTAGACATTGCACTTTGAGTTGCTCAAATGTTGCTTAGTGTTAGTGCTAGCTCAAGCTTGCAGCAGTCATGCTGCAAGGCTCAAAACCTTTTCTCCCTTTCCCTCACCTGCACAGCTGTGACTTGCCCGTAGAGCAGAGGTGAGCAATTATTTCAGGCAGAGGGCCGCTTACTGAGTTTTGGCAAGCTATCGAGGGCCGCATGACAGGCAGCCAGGGGCAGATAAGTATTAATTTTCTAATTTTTTTAGGGGCATGCTGGATAGAACGGCCTGGCAGGTTGCATCTGGCCTGCGGGCCACATTTTGCCCACCCCTGCCCTAGAGGTCTGGCAAGCAGAGGCCTGATTAGGACTACAGCTGTGAGTTGCCACTACAGGGCTGCTGAGCCAGGACAGGCTTCTATCCCTGCTCTAGGTGCGCGGTCTGACAGATGGGTTGGAGGGGGTGGGAACATAGCTGGGAGAAAAAGATTTAGTACAATGGAGATGGGTAATGAAAGGAAATGGGCATGGGGGGTGGTGAAATAAAGTTGGCCCCTAAAGAATAAAATAAAAAGTAAAGAAGAAATAATAATTTTAAAAGAAATAAATAAATTAAAGAAGGTCTCATGTTTTAATAAATTAGGATTTGGAATTCGGGTGTAGGGGGTGCTGGTCATGCTTCCTGGGATGGCTGGGAAGTAGGAATGATGAGGGAAGGCACTTCTGGGGGAGCTACTGCCCCTACCCCAGGAAGGAAGCCCCAGCTCATGAGGACCCCTTACCTTGCTCCTCCCCGACACCTCCCCCAGACCCACTCCTAGACCTGTCCATGCTCTGAGACCTGGCTAGGTGGCATGTACTTTGCAGGCTGTTTGAATGGGGTTGCAGCCCTGTGGGTGGGAAAGTCACTCCTCTGGGGCAGGACAGGGAGTTGGCTTGGTTCCAAAACCATCCCCTGGGAGTAGAGTTTAGGGCATGGAAAGTTTGTCTAGACAAAACAAGAGGGTTGGGGAGGGGACACTGCATCTTGGGATGCTGGAGGACTGCAACTTGGGTAGCTCATCTGTGGGGAGTGGCTGAACATTAATGGAACATGAGCTGGGTAACATGGATCAGAGATAAACCTGCCCTGGAGTCGCATAACTTTAAGATGTCTAAAGTGTGCTTAAAAGTAGTTTCAGGTATTAATGTGTGGACAATCCAGGAGTTAAAAGCCCCAGGAGCCAGCTAAAATTAATATGTAACCGGGCCCTAAAGGTAGTTTAGTGTGGAACCATCCTTATATTTAAGGCTTTTCTTGGCCTTAAAGTGACACAACAGCAACCCCAGGTGGTCAGACTACAGAGACATTTGCAAAGCAATGCAAAAACCTTGTCATGCTTACCATTTCCTGGGTGTTGCTGATCACCAGGAGATGAGCACTCTCTGCAGCACAGGACTCCTGGCTGGAATTCCAGTCCTTTCTCTCCTTGGAGAAGAAATAGCAGCTGTCCCCGTAGCCCACCCACAGCTCGGGGCACCGCAGACAGGAGTCACCTGTAAAGAATCATGACAATGGCTTTGCTTTTTCACTGTCCCCTCTGTAGGATCTCAGGGCAAACAGCAGCTTGGATAGTTCAGAGATCACACACCTGCTTGCTGGCATGGAGCCATCCCCTGACAGAAGGTGACTACTGTGCAGAAAGCAAGGACTGTGATTAAGGCAGGAAATGGAGTACCACAAGGGCCTTTGTGAACTTGCTGTTCTTACTGTTACCCCTCACTTTGACCGCACCAATATCAGAATAGTTACTCAGATCTGAGAGAGCAGAACCTGGCACTCTGTAAGCAAGAGAGGGACTGCAAAGAGGGTGGGGAAATGGTATACAATATGATCGTTGCAGGGGCTGAGGTGCAGGGCAGCTGTGATCACAGCTTAAAGCTATTTACATAACACGTGGGCCCTTCTCTGGCGTGGTTTAGCACCTTGCATGCTGTACTCAGAAAGTCACACCCAGAGTATCTGTATTTCCCATAGCATGCAACTCTGTAACGATCTTTCAATACCAGTCTTTCTGTAACCGGGGAGCATAGTTCAGGTGAAGCAGCTCAGGTTACCCCAAGGAGCCTGCAGGTATGCAACAGGCAAGACTGAGCTTTGGTTTATGTTGGTGCCTAGCTAGAGTAATTCCATCCTCCCCTAGGGAATTAGTCCACCCTTATGCCAGTGTCACAGGGACCAAAATCCAACCTCCTCTGCTTAAGACCTCCCATCTCCTGCTTTCAGGCTGTTGAGGCCCAGGGCTATTTTGTACACTTACTCATATGCAGGACCACCAGCATTACCCCTTGCACCAGCAAGAGGACACTCAGGACTCCTACAGTCAAGCGGCAAACGAGAGAGGACTGGGAGCATGGGCCTGGAAGAGAGAAAATGGGAGTCAGGGTAAATGTAGGCTTCACCCTGGACTGCTTGTCCCCATTAAGAGCAGCATTGTACAGCCCGGGGTATCAAATTCACTTGTGCCCCTGAGCCAGATCCAGACAGCAAGGAGCCACCTGGGCTTGATACAAATGGGTGGTGATGGCGGAACGAGTGGCAGTGACAAGGCAAAAGGTGATGTGAGGATTAGACCAGCCATTGCTGCCCTTGCCCCACTTTCCCCAACGACATGTAGGCCCATCAGGACTCTGAAGGTGGGAATTTGAAGCCGGGCCCTGCCCCTGCTCACCCCAGTCCCAAATTCTCAAGCCGTCAGGGAGCCCCACAAGCCCTAAGGTGCTTGATAGCCCTGGCATAGCTCATTCATGTGCATAGCACTGGCACAATGTGGAAATGGGCCAATTACCAGTCGCCATTCATTGTAAGACACAACTAAGCAACCAGCTTAGTTGGTTCATAGGGGTTCATTGTAAATCACAACTAAGCAACCAACAGGAGTGCTGCAGCCTTTATTCCTGAAAGATTTCAGGAGAGATGCCCCACACAGGACTCCCTACAGTCTCCTCAGTAACTCTGCATGCTATACACACATCAATGATGCTACAGAACTGACCTAGTGCTTCATATT